AAGACGTTAAAGAGAACTAGTCCAAGGATGGAGCCTTGGGGGACACCACTTGTCATGGAGCACCATAATGATTCACTTCTATCGACTCTTTGGGTCTGACCTTGGAGCCAATTCCCCAGCCATTGGACTGTGATGTAGCCGAGGCCACAGTTGGCCAAGTTTTCCATGAGGAGATCATGTGACAGCAGATCAAAGGCTTTTTTAAAGTCAATATATATGATGACAATCACTTCTCCCTTGTCCAGATGATGCGTCACCTGGACATAGAAGGAGATGAGATTGGTCAGGCAAGACCTACCCACAACAAACCCGTGCTGGCTGTCACTCAGGATGTTTGCCATCAGCCAGCTTGTCAAGAATGGTCTCTTCGATAATTTTTTCCAGAATCTTACTGGGGATTGAAGTCAAGCTGATTGGCCTGTAGTTCCCTGGATTGACTTGCCTCCCTTTCTTAAAGATGGACACCACATTGGCCTTCTTCCAATCTTCAGGTACATCACTTGAGCACCATGAGTTTTCAAATATTTTTGCCAATATGGTGGGGCTAGGACACCTGCCAGCTCAAGTTAAAGAGTTTCCCATCAGATCTGGTCCACAGGTATACTCCTTCTGAACAGTCACTGAATGCGCATTTGAGTAGGACCCATTTGAGCTGAACCCATTTCTCCTCAGCAGTATTACACAGTTTAAAATATGATAGAGCCCCAGAGAGAGTTTTAATGAATTGAGATGATGTGTCTTCAGCTTTCTGTTGCATGGCATTTATTCATTGTAAAGAGAGTTTCTTGCTCTTGTATACTATCCTGGGATGCAATTTGACTTTAGTGCATACCAATGAATGATTAGTATCACAGTCAGCACTAATAGGATCACATAATGATTACATCACGGAAGTCTCGAGAGTGGGTGATACCCAGGTCGAGTTGATGCCAGTGTCCAAATTGCAGGTGGCACCAAAATAGTTTGTGCTGAGGTTTCACATTGAAATATGAATTTGTTATACATAGCTCATTGCATGAACATAGCTTGAGCAAACGTTGTCCATTTTCATTCAGTTTTCTGACATCATTGGTGCCTAAACAGTGAGGCCAGGCAGCATGCTCAGCACCAACCTTTGTGTTGAATCTCCGAGCAGAAGGATTTTTTCACTAGGTGAAATATTATTGATTAAAGCACTACAATCATCATAAAACTGCCCCTTTGATTCAGATGAAATAGTGAGAGTTGGAGCATATGCGCATTAAGACACTGACAAGACCAGAGGCAGTAGTAAGTCAAAGCACCATTAATCTTTTGGAGCCTTTGTTTGGGGTTTCTATTGCAGACTGCAGCTTATTTTTTACTGAAAAACCCATACCATGCTCTCTGATTTCTTTGAGCTGTTTCCCACACCAGAAAAAGGTGTAGTTCTCTTTTAAGCAGCCAGTACCTGATAGTCTGGTTTCTTGTAGACAGACAATACCAACATTCAGTTTCAGCAGTTCTGCATCAATGACTGCAGTTTTGCTTGCATCATCAATAGTTTGGAGGTCATCAGACATACCTGGGGTCACTGTACATACATTCCAACCTTTAGAACTGAAAGGTTTTTTCCTTGTATTTTTTGTAGTAGCTGATAGTGCATGATAGCAGTCTATTTTGAATCTGAATCTCTAAGCTCCAGGCACCCACTAAAGCAGCAGACTGTAGCAGGAAAACACCTGCAGCGTACCCAGCTTGGGGTGGGTGGTAGTTTTCCAATTAAGTGCAATGACCTCTCCCACCATCAGAGATAACCACTGGTGCTTGGACCTACACCAGTCAATCCATGACTTAACTGGTAACTGTTGACTTCTGTTTGTTTCTACACATTGGCAAAGCTGCTAGGTGATCAAGAGTTGCCCAAGCATCAGAATCACCCTTTCAACTTTGCCAACTTATACACAGTAAAGGCAGAGCCAATACAATGCGGGGCTGGAAAAGTTGTAGGAACTGCTGGAAAGAAGACTGAATAATTACCTAACCACCTTAGCGGCTCCACTCCATATTTTTTGTCAGGGTTTACTCCTTTAGCTTTCACCTCTCCCAAGGCAATCCATAAGGCAGTGGTTGTAGTTACTCTCATCTTCGTCTCCCAGCTATGCCATTGGAAATATCCTCTTCTGCCACAGCTGTCATTGTGATGATTAAAGGGCAGCTCTAAATGATTAAAACTATCCCCCCTCACTAAGTTCAGCCCACTGGTGGACGCTGTTGCCCAAGGTGTGGTACATGCAGCCATTAGTAAGAGCTGGACATGAATCCCAAACCACCTTAAAAAGGTGTCACTGTTTGAGAAACAAAGGTTCTACCCCTCCTCAAACACCCCATACACCCCTCGATTGTCTGTACTTAGCCTTCAACAACATACATCAACTTCCCACAAAAAAACCCTTACAGAACTTCTTACTGAGCCCTGTGAAAAACTATTACCTCAGTAACCACCTGAAAACTCTCTACCCTTCCTTGATGGTTCAGTGAAACCAGTGCGTCCAGTTCTTCTCTAATCTGTTCCTTGTCCTGATCCATGTTGCGTTTCAGTTCATGCAGTCCCAGCTTCAGGTACTTTCAGTGAAAACCAACCCCTTAAAAACCCAGAAGCTTCTTACTTTCCATAAACTCATTTTAACACATGCCAATAGAGTCCTTAATAATGTTTCCTAAGGTCCTTTTGGTATGAGTCTATACCAAAGTTAATGCAGCCCAGCTGAAATCTGAATAGGATATATGGTAGTTCCTATTGAGTGCAGACACCCTCAGTGCCGACTTTTTTTCCAAAGTCCTGGTGAGCCATTACATTGTGTACGTTTTGATTTCCTCTTCATTCCCATAGCTGAACTGTGCCTTTCTTTCCCATTTCCAATGAATCCTGTTTCTTCACCAGCCTTAAATGTCTGGCAATTCCCCCCCACCAAAAAAACCCCCCCAACAAACCAGGCCCCCAAACAGTTCACCCAGAATCCGTCCATCTGCCCTGGTCTCAGCCTGTCATATATGATTAGTGTGTCCCTGCCCTCCTTGAGGTGAAGCCAGACCAGGTTGCCCTATGCCTCTCTTGCATATAAATTTTTGTAGGATCCCAGGACTCTTGACAAGAGCATCCAGTTCCATTCATGAGTGGGGGCTAATTAGCACATGGTTCTGTTGACCAGTTCATCTCCTGCTTCAGAAACACCCTGTGGAAGACCAGGAATCTACTCGTGTACAGATACATGAGCCTCCCAGTTAAGGATTAAGTCAGAATAGGAGTGAAAGAGCTGGAGGTGTACTACAGGAAAACAAATGAAGATGACAGGAACATGATGGCAGAATGGGGATAATGATGGTAACTGCAGAAGTGTTTTGGGCTGTCAAATAAATCATGTCAGTCGCAAGACAGGTCCATAGAGGTGTGTGTATCTACCTGGGTCTTAAAAACCTCTAAAAATGGAGATTCTGAAGCCCCTCTGTTCCAGTGCTTTATTACCCTTGTCATGATAATTTTTCTTAATATCTAACCTAAACTCCCTTTGCTGCAACTTGAGCCCATTGCTCCTTGTTCTGTCATCTGCCACCACTGAGAACAGTCTAGCTCCATCCTCTTTGGAACCACCAACCAGCTGAAGACTGTTATTAAATCCCCTTGCAGTCTTCTCTCCTCCAGACTAAATAAGCCCAGTTCCCTCAGCCTCCCCTCATAATTCATATGCCTCAGCTTGTAGAAACCTTTCTTGTTTCCCTTAACATCCCTTACTAGCTGCAACTCCAATTCTTCAACTGCCTTCTTGATTTCATCCCTGCATACTCAAGCAATACTCCTATACTCCTCCATAGTTGTTTGTGCAAGTTTCTACTTCTCATAAAGTTCCTTTTTGTGTTTTAGCTTATGAAGAGTTCCCTGCTAAGCCAAGCTGGTCTTGTGCAGGAAGATTAGCAAGTATGGCACATCTAGATAGTTTGTTTCTGTGCCTTCAGTAAGGCTTCTTTAAAGTACAGCCAGCTCTCCTGGACTCCTCTCCCCATCAGACTGACTTCCCAGAGGATCCTGCCTATGAGTTTCCCAAGTGAATCAAAGTCTGCTTTTCTGAAGTCTAGGATCAATGCTCTGCTGCTTTCTTTCCTTCCTTTCCTCAGGATCCTGAACTGAATCATCTCGTGGTCACTGCTGCCCAAGTTGCCATCCACTACTGCATTCCCCACCAATTCTTCCCTGTTTGTGAGCAGCGGGTCAAGAAGAGCATAGCCCCTAGTTGGCCTTTCCAGCACTTGCACCAGGAAGTTGTCCCCAGCACTCTCCAGAAACTCCCTGGATTGCCTGTGCACTGCTGTATTGTCCTCCCAGTAGTTGTCAGGGTGACTGAAGTCCCCAGGAAAACCAGGGCCTGTGATTGGGACACTTCAACTGGCTGCTTGAATAAAGCCTCATCCACCACTTCCTCCTAGTCTGATGGTCTATAAAAGAACACCACTCTTATTGCCCTCCCCTCTGACCCCAGAGAATGACATTTGCCTGACAAAGCAGGTGGTGGGAGGGTTGTCAACATGTACCTTTTTTTCACCTTGCTGTGGTTCAGCTCTCTGGCTTTCAAAGCCAACACAGCTCTAAACAAGCAAAATATCAGTATGGCAAAATGCTTCCCCCCCTCTCAATTTATTCAGCAGTTTCAGAAGACCAAATGCAGTATAAGAGAATTACATAACAGTTCAGTCAACTTAAGGTCACATCTTTTTTATTGAATCACACCGATTTAGGGACCAAAGTAGTAAATCATTAATCCAATTGCATGTAAAAGACTCTTTAAACCTCTAATTGGATAAACTGTTTCTTTTTCAAAAATAACCTTCAATGAATTGACCTTGCAACTCTAATGCTGAGTCTAAGCTTTTCTAGTTATGACACTGACCACAACTGCTATATCAAATGGAACGGCAAGTGCATTAGCCAAATGGTAATCTTCAAATCAGATTAGTTGCCACAGGAAGTGACATTAGACCTCATTTACCTGACACCCTTGGCCTTTCATTGTCTCCACTGCCTTTTTAATAGCAGGGTTGAGAGGCTCACACACTTCTACTTGAGTCTTCACGTTATGTTCAAAATAGGGACCCATCAGAAAGTAGTTTTCACCCCATTCATCTGCTGTAATTCTGGCTTTGGTCTGGATCACAGTATAGATGCCACCAACTGCAAGAGAAAATCATAAGGAATATCAGAGATAAGTGGGCACAAAATGCGAAGTGCTGATGCAGGCTCATAAATACTTGATGCATCTCTATCCAGTCCATCTCTAGGTTATTTACTTTTCCTGTTTCCTTTTTGGCTGAAACCCTGTCCCTATTCAAGTAAATTGGAGTCCGGCCACTCCGCTGCAGGCAGAATTTAACATCTGTATTTAAAAGGGTATGTTGCTACCCAGACTATCTTCAGTAAACACACAATTTGTCATTAACATGGTAATGGCCTTATCATCTTATTCTGCAATAAAAACAAAGCATCTGAAGTTCTATAATACAAGTACACACAATTATTATTGTTGGAAGTAGACCATAGTGCAAGAACAAAGAATAAAATAACCTCTGCTCCTTATTTATATGTCTGTTTCAATAGCTTTATTTTAGCCTCTAAGCTGCATACAGAGCTGGAGCTGCAGAAATAAAACCACAGGAAGTACCAATTCTGATTCAATGTGTATATTAAAAAAAAAAACAAAAAACAGACTCCAAGTGACCAGGGAGCCAGCAAACAGGGGCAGCAAGCACTTTGCAGGCAGTTTGCTGGGAACAAGAGGAGGAAGGGAAAGAGTCTGGGTCCAGTTCCCTGCTGCAGCGAGCAGGGACTGCCTGAATCACCAAAGCTCTGTGAATCTTTTCCAAATTGATCTGGAGATCTTCGAATCAATTTGGACCTTTTAATTGGTTCCCCCAATTCAATTCAGATTTGGACATTCAGCCACTGAATCAGGCCGAGTCTCCTCCAAATCAAAATCAGCAGGTGAAGCTTCACGCAGCCCTGATATTTACCCCTAATAGTCACTAAAATTCCCATAATTCTATTCAAAGAATTTTGTAATACAGTAAAACTGTAGCCTAACACTTTCTCCCATAGACACTGCCAGCTCAGGAACAAATGTACCAGTATAGTGGTGTGACATGCAACTGTGTGTATTTTGATATTACCCTTCATAAACATGAAAACCCTTTACTTTCTCCATGACTTTTGCTCTCTCTTTTCTCCATTTTTCTGTTCCTCCTTTACTTCTGAACACTTGGAGTAACCTCAGTTTTTTTCCCCTTTTTGTGTTGACTAGGTTGACAAAGGGTTAGAATCAAAACAAGTTGTTTAATTATTTTCCCCTTTTCTGGAAAAAAATGGAAATTTAATAGCAGTAGAGGAAAAAAAGTTTATTTTAAATGTATTTTTTAACAGAATGCTTTAGAAATATTCAGATATCCATTTCACTTTAAAAGATTGATTGTACTATAAACAATATTTTGTTGAAAAAGTTCTGACTACTATTTCAATAACGTTTAATTCTTTCCTTTCAATAATGCTAATATAGCATCACAAAATAACAAGTATGAACTATAATAAATAAAACAAAGATGTAATATATTTAATTAATAAATCAATGGGATAAAAAGTAAAAAAACAACAAATTAAAATGAAGTAATAATTCTCCTTTTCAAAATGACATCTATTGATTCCTACCCCACTCTTCCCTCTTGTAAATTTCATTGAAATCAGCATGTTCCCACAAAACATTTGTTTCAATTAAACTTTTTTTTTGGAAAACAATTTTATCAGTGTTTTCCTTCATTGAAGAAATATCTGGAGTATTTGGATTAGATTATTATTCTAGTGAATAAAGGCCCTGTGACGTGTTTCACTTAAGATGTGATTAACCAGTTAATCATGTCTTAAATTGTAACCTGGCCACACAAAGTGATTAATGACATCAAAAATGCATAGTAACTTTGTGGCTGGTTCTTATGACATCATTATCTAAACCCAGTTGTAACCCAGTGTCTGGGAATCCCATCAGCTGATTGGGTTCACAGCCATGGAGGTGTACCATGAGCTCCCATGGCTGGAAGCTCAGAGCAGATGAGACTCTCAGCCACAGGAGCACATGGCGTACCCCCATCGCTACCAGCTGCAGAAGCTTGTTATTTGCCAGTGCAGGGGGAGCCCAGGATCATGATCTTGGGCTCCCCCTTCACCAGCAATAACACATGATAGAATCTGATGCTTAATCCTACAATCGAGCCATGTGACCTGGCAGAAAGTACGATTGAATGGATTGATCGCATCAGATCCTATTTTGCCTTTACCTGCACATCAGGCAGAGAGGCCTGATAGTCATTATTTTATTATGGGAGCATCCAAAACTTCTGAGAGAGAAGGAAAGCCATCAATTGTGCAAACCAATATACAAGCTCATTAAAAAAAAACTCGGTTCCTGCCCACTGCAATGGTTTAGTCAGGGATAATCCTACAGACCCTATTATAGTCTCTGTAAAAGACCATATACACCATCCTGTGGATACATGGCTGCATGCCAACCCAGTGTCAAAGTACTGGTAACAGAAAGAGGGCCTTCAGTCCTGCCATCATGGTCATGGAGGGAAGCCAGAAACAGCACAACTAGTTAAGGAGGGAAGAAGGCTACAGCCAAGGAACTTAAAGTGCATGTAGGAAAAAAAAATAAGTTAAAGGTCCTGAACTCTCACTTAACCTGAGGTTGCCCAGAATCACTCCAGAAGTGTGAAGGGCCTTACATTTACACCCATTCTAACATTCCTTTGCATAGTCAGAGGGGAAGGACTTCTGAAAAAAAGAAAATCAGATGTAGAGTTTGCTAGGTAGCCAGTAGGTCAAAGGACCATCTAAGCTTTCCAGGCCATTTGGGCTACTATGGCTACAAGCATGCCAGTTTTTGTTGCCAGTGGATTAAAGGGCTAGCATTGTGGCAAACTTCAACTCTGGCCATCTTTGACTCCCCATTCTGAACGGCCTGGTAAAGCTGGGTCAGTTTGGTTCAGTATTTCCTGTAAGTCCAGAGCAAAGCTCAGCCACAGCACTGGAGCTGGCCCCTGGTGGTTCCCTTTGTCCCACCTGACCCAGGCACCATCTGGCCCTGGCACATCCTGCCACCCCCTGAACACACAATGGGGTGGGGCGGCTCTGCGACTGGATTGCCTTTAAGTGCAGACCAGGCAGTGGTGGCTCCTTCTGGCTGCCGCCACCAGTGGCCTAGCTCCACAGTACTGGTGGGGACCTGCATGCACACAGCCCCAGCTCGGCCCACCCCACGCCTGCTCCAGACTTGCCTTCTCATACTGGCAGCAGCAGCACCAGCTGGGCAGAGACTGCTGCTCCGTGTGAAGGAAAAGCAGCCCTCCCCCTCACTGCTTCCCAGCACTCCCTGCTGTAGCTGCTCAGAGCCCGTGCCTGGGCTGTCACTGTTGCCCTACTGGGCAGCCTGGATGTACCAGTGATAGAGGCCGTGATGGAGGCAGAGCAGCAGGGCACCCTGGACATGGGCTCCATGCAGCTGAAGCAGGAAGTGCAGTTTCTGCCTGGCCAGCACTGCAGCTGCTGCCACTGTTTAACGTGAGCAGATGAGTCTGGAGCAGGTACAGGGTGTGCAGGCTTGGGCCTGTGCGTGTGGGTCCCCACCAGTACCACGGGTCTGGGGCCAGCAGCAATAGCAGCTGGAAGGAGCCACCACTGCCTGGTCACCCTGGAAAGGCAATCCAGCCACAGAGCCACCCCTACCTGCTGCATGTCCAGGGGGCAATAGGATGTGCCATGGCCGGACAGTATGGGGTAGCCTAGAGTCAGGGCTGTGGCATGGGTTCCCAGCTAGTCTGCTCCCACTGGCAGCAAGGGTAGGACAGGAGCGGACATGGGGCACATCTGGGGCTCTGTGCTGTTGGCAGTGGCGGGGAGGCACTGCAGGGCACGTAGCTCTGAACTGTTGTGGAGCGGGGCAGGTGCTGATCAGCTATGGGGGACACACACAGGGGCTCCCATGCATACTCCATCATACCCACAAACCTCCCCACAAACCCCACAACCACACCCTCACCCACACAAAAATCACACCCCACAAACACCACACCCACACACCCTGCACTCTCTCATACACATCTGTGAGCCTCTGGGGGGAGCCCTTCTTACTGCTACATGTACACACCCCACCACACACAGGCACCCACATCCCCATGCACATCTCACACACACAGCTCCAGCCACCCTCCCCCTCCACATATCCTACAAACCCCCTACCCGCCCACACAACCCTACAAATACACCCCCATAAGCCCCCCATACCCACCCACATCCACACATACCCCACACCTCACATACATACACATCCACACACCAACACCCCCCCACAAACCCTATACCCCCATAACCCACCCATACCCCTCCACAGCCCCTGCAATATACAAGAATAAGACTTCATTTTGAGCTATTATACAATCACCTCTATATATGCAACACACATGCACATAAATCAGGACAGTTTTTTTTAATTAAATTAAATATGTTATTTTGCATGTTTGATTTTTACTATATAATTTGGGGGTTTTTTTTCCCAAATCCCAAGATGGCAAACCCCCTTCCCAAGAAGGTACTTCCAATGGCAAAAGTTCAGGGGTTAGGGGCAGGAGTTCCAGTCCCAAGATGGCAACCAGGGGGTGGGGTACCTGTCAAGGGGCAGGGCTACCCTTGTTGCCCTTGACAATGTGCCAAAACTCATTAAGTGGCCCTTCAGCTGAAATAATTGCCTGCCTCTGCCTTAGACCAAGGATCAGCAATCTATGGCCCATAGAATCTTTTTGTGGGCTGGATCTGTTCCATCTGGACCACCAAACCCAGATGGAAGCAGCAGCAGGAGATACTGGTAGCATTGGCTGGGTTACAAATGGTGGCCTGCTTTAGGACCAAGCTGCATTAATTCAGCCCACCAGTGGTGATGTGTAAGGAGTTCACGTGCACCCTCCTTCCCCCCCCCCCC